CGGACGTAATCTGACTTTAAAACCATATAAATAATTCATAAAACTTGCTGGAAAAAAGTTCTTCGTGTTTGTAATGTCAATAGAATAGAAGTTCTTATAACACAACCAGTAGAATATTAGCATGCTTGATGAAGGTGACCGTGTTGTTATCGATACGTCACATTCTAACCCCGCCCTGGGTGAGATACAGCACGTAAAATGTATAGATCTTTCGTCCCAGACACACGTGGTATTTGATGTGAATCGGTTGAGTCGCGAAGATGCATGTATCATTTACAGGAATACTCATGCAAAGGAATTGCTTGTTCGCACAAAATCAGACGGAAAGATTAGCAAATAGAAGTAATGATATTAAAGTAGTGAGCCAACCATCTCCAGGGTAGTCTCCCTTATCATAGTTGCTTGTTTACGCGATTTCTATTATGAGAGTTGCCTCCCTTCATTTGTCCAAGCTCATGCGTTTCATTCTAAAAAGATTGTTTTTGATTCAAATAGGTCTGATGTTTTCCCATTAAACAAGTATGCCACTTAAGAATAACATGATGTCGGCACAAATGAAGAATTAAGTTGGTATATAAATATACGATTTAAAACAGAATCGAATCGAAGAAAAGAAAAATTATCCTTATTGGACAGTGGTGGTGGCAGTTCGGGAAAGGTCAAAGGTTATCCAAAGGAGATATGGGGAGGGGTTAACATTACCACTTCTGCAGATACAATTTTAAGTCATTGAGTAAACGTTTTGAATATTTTCAGTTAACCTTATACGTCGAAAAACAAACGATCACACATAATCAATTTTCTTCTTTTTAAAGCAAACAAAATAAAACCAAACAAAAAACAAAAATAAAACAATGACAAAATGTTTACAATCTCAATATCTACCGCAAAGTACAGGGGAAAAGTATGTAATTTCGCGTTTTATTATTGCGAATAAATTTTCATCTTCTGAAAATGCAAATCTGCAATATAAACAAATAAGATAGTGCAAGGAATTTGTCCAAAGTGTCAGAATTTCAAAAATGTTGAAAATTTGAAATTTATTTGAGTTTTTGGTCTTGAGAATTAGTTATTCAAAATCTATAAGAGTTACTTCCCTTCATTTCGCTCTGGCGATAAGCTTGACAGCTGATGGGGGCCGAAAATGGGTTTTAGAGGCCTGGGGCGAGACCGAGTCTGGCGCACACCAATCATCGCCGACATAAAATCAAAGGTTAAGAAAGTTCGCACCTTGACGATAATGTGAAATTTCTACAATGTACGAGACAAAACAACAGGCGTAGATTTTACGATTTCGGCATTATTATTGAGGTACATATTAGAGACAATTCATCTCGACAGAGAAATGTCTACCTAGCCATCTCTACGTATATTTGCGAATTTGTCAGGTCATAGCTTGGTCCATATTTGGCCAATCTCGTTCATCAAGCACTCCTTGGAAAGATCAAACTATTTTCCTTATTATACATGTGATTTAGGATATGTGACTCTCTGAACATACTTTTGAAAATGTATGTTCAATTTCACCTTGTCGGGTATTACAACCCTGGTCACTATAAGACATATGGTCGAGGGCTTGGAATTCGTCCCGTTGGTACAATTATAATTTGCCAACAAGCCGATTATTTACCTGAGTAAAATCACAGCATCCGATTCTATTAGACTGACACTGCTGATAAGTTGATGAAAGGTTGTATATTTTCTGGAACGTATACAGGAGTTTTCTAAACGTTTGAAATCAAATAAGGATTGGTGATACAAACCTACAATACACAGCAAACGAAATGGTGTTTAAGGAAGAAAGTTAATTTCACTAGGACCTTTATAGTGTGCTATTCAGTTATATCAGGTTTTGTATAGAAACAAATCCTATTGTCTGTAATGATTGATATGTAGAAGTACCTTTAACAAATGTCATAACCATGTTTAATTTTGGTTAGATATCCTCGCAACAATCAAAGAACGGGTGTAATATACACGGATGGAATCAAATACAAAACTGATTCAACAATACTGATACGCCAAATTGATTGGAGGGGTCGGGGAGGAGGGCGTTACGTCACGTAATAGACAGGGTCATTACGTACAAGTTATCCATGGGATGTACAGCTGAATGTCATTACACAGACATTTTTGTTTTTATTTTTGGTTTTGTTTTGGTTTTTGGGTTTTTTTGGGGGTCGGGGTAGAGTGGAGGGGGTGGTATTTATTAATTTATTCATTCATTTCCATTTCCATTCATATTTTTATTTTACTTATATAATTTTATTTATTATTTTTTTATGGACAGGGAATTATGGCACCCCGCCCGGTCACTTTATGCTAACAGCAGATTAATCTGTCCTCACAGTTTATTTATGATAATATAAACATCAGAAGGGAGCAATGAACAACGATTATATAGAATTAAGTATGGGGTCAGTACACACACAACCTGTTCTTACTTTAATGGGAAGTCAACTTCGTATTCAATCACGTGTGCAATATTTTCAAGTGAGACGTTGGGAAGTAAGAAGTTACTAAGGAATAAGATAAGATGCTAAGACTTCAAGTTATGTCATATTTTTTGAGGCCATGTATTTTGGACAGCAGGTATAATGCTTGTCTTCCGTGCAACTAATGCTATATAAGGTAACAAAATCATACAACACAATTATACAGAGGGCTAACTCAGTGAAAATGATTATTATTCAAATAAATTCGTTTTCAGAAGTTGAATTGGCCATCAAATATACTCAAACACGATGAGATTTTTTGCAGAAAAATATTCATTTGCAAAAGTAATCAAAAAATCGAGGAACCGATATAGATATATGAAAAATATTCCTTTTCAAATTATTATCTTTTTCTTTTAAAAAAATATCGCCGTATGTGAGTATGGTTGCCAGATCAATTTTTGAAAACGAAATTATTTGATTAATAAACATTTTCGTTGAATTAGCGCCTTGCGTACAATTACACTACTTCTGTTGATGTGATCTCGGAATTTTATGGTACACATAAGATAATGTAACCGTTCCCATAAACGAATTTCAATAGTACGAGTAATTGCAGAGCTCAATTTTTGGATCTTTAATGAATGCACGCTCAGATTACCAAGAAAAGTTCTCGTCAGTCTCTGCGTTCACATGACTTGGGAAAGTGACCCAATGCTGATCAAGCTAACTAATTTACAACATTCTGGATATTGCCATATTACATACCTTTAGGAATGGAAAAGACCATATGATATCTACGGTATTGTACAACTTATCTGAAATGTGTCATTCTATAATCGAGTTAAAAGAGTCCTCACTCAATATATCGACTTCTCTGTCACATTCTGACATATCAGGGCTGTGCAGGATTCGCTAACAGACGTCGGACACGACAACGTGTAATTTCGGCGATATGGCGTGTAATTAGCTACTTATTATTTGTGTAGTGTTATAGAATGTATAATCCCAGAGTGCAGAAAGGTTAGATATCGAGACAAAACCCACTGTACTAAAATAGTCTTTTATTTGTTTTCCTTAAGAACACACTTTTTTATAACATTCTTTAAACTCTACAAGTTTAACGCCATGGTGACGTCATGATAGAATTTGTAGATATGTCATGTGATTTCATTAAATCATTTTATTTGTAAGCCTTACGGTCGTCATAATGATTTCACTAAGAGATGTTTTCGTTAATGGGGTGTGAATTCGGATGTGTTTCATGCACGTCAGTTTGCCTGTTGGTTCCGTTTTTGTTGACATAGATCTGATTGGGGAATGTGACATTAATTACTTGGTTCAACGAAGATTTACATGGTGGGTGTCGTCACCAAAGCAAATGGCGTATACCCTTCTTGAACACCCGGTCTTATTCTCCATACCTTTTTTAACATGTCTTCGTGTACATATTGTTTTGTTCATGGTTTCCCCTAGCTTTGTCGAATTCGAGATTAAATCAATATTCTGTTGACATGTCGGTATTTTCTTCGTTGATTTATGGAATCACATGTAGAATGTAAATAACAAGGGTATACGTTTTTACCCAATCATTTTCCTCTGTATAAAGTGTACCTGTTTGTTCAGAGTGAGATCCCCTTAGTAGGATATTTTATCTGCTTAGACAGGTATTTTCTGGCTGTCATACAAAAACACACCCACGGTGACAAATAGCACTGGTAATTATCTTATCTCACTCAAACAGGAGTTCAGTGTATTTAGTATGTAGTGAATGTAAGTTTTAAAGGGTTGTTTACAAATTGAAAATCTCGTTGAAATTCACGTCAGTCAGACCTAATCTCTGTGTACAGTGTCGATAGTAGGACTTAGATACCCTGATGACCCTGCGGTTGGATCATTAAAGACCCGGGACTCTACTGATCTGCTTTATAAGGAGTCGATGTCGTCTGCTCTCAGAAGTACAACATTACAGAATCCGGACAGTCACAATTCAGCAGTCACGCTTGAACGGGACTTTGTAAATAGTGCTCTGTGAAGTAATTTTAAAGTCGGCTATTGTACGTCCACCGTTTTACTGTCCTTACCACAGTTGCCCGGGGGTGAGGGTCCCGAGGCCGTACACAAAGGACAATGACGCTGCTGGTAGCACTATAATCACTAGCACGCCTCTCCCAAGGTGTGCACGAGCTATTTTTCAGATCGATGTGGAAGTGACCGGGAACCGGTTTGTCAATGGCAGTCAGGTGTGTATTTACACGTCGAGTCGACCCAGTTTGTAAAGAGGATTGAACAATTGAAGTGTACTTCACGGCCAGATATTACACATGTATTCGACGAGTCAGGCGTACCTGAGTGGAACCGTACAATGTGTGGGACGTAAGTGTGCAGCCGGGTATGTGATCTGTTGGTCACTGTAGGGTGATATGACAGGTGCACGTGTGGAAAATGGTTATACGTCAAGTCAGTGTCCATTATACCTGCCGTAATAATGACAATTTTACGATATAGAAGATATGTGGCGGTAGTCTGACAGTACCGCGTCCTCGTTACCAAGGTCAGGTAAAAATGGCGGCAGATCCTGTTCTGCTCTCTCGTCCCCCTCTTGGTCATCAACATGTGACCAAGGAGGATATAGGACCCCCTAAACCTATCAAACAATTCCTCTGGGAGGACACGCCCCGTTTACTTAAGGACATGATGAGCACTTCAAGACTGCCATTTACTGCTAAAGTACACACGGGGGATATAGGAAGTTACGTTTCAGCATGGACAAGTCCCGAGGGGACCGGGGATGACCCGGAAGACGAGGTGCTTCATGTGGTGGAGACGAGGAGGAAGAAGGCGGTGGTGGTGAGGAAGATGCAGTGGGACCGACAGACGGGAGACTACGCCGCGTGTGGGAATAGAGTCGAGATACCTGCTACATATAAAGGTAGGTACCCTTACAAAGGGATAGGGATACAGGTGACACCCCTTTCCCCCACCCCAGCGGTTCAACTTAAATAGGTAGTATTTGTCGGTCTCCTATCACTTCGGGCTAATGCCAACATAATGTTAAGTTGCATGTATCTCTGGATACGTGATTATAACATACTCTGATGTAGGTACGAAGTGTAAAGATAGGAGTAAGGTGTTAATTATCTCTGCTTATAAAAACAATGTTTACATCAGTAGAACACTTGACAATCAGTATTGAACAATGCCTGAGCACACACGCGTACATCTTACTTATGAGTTAATGTTGAATGTTGAGCTATCCTATATCTGTGTTGTTATCGATTCGTCATAATACATAATTCATCTGTCGTAATCACTCAACACTACACGAACATAAAATCTCTCTGTCTATCAATGAAATATGAATCATATTTAATATTCGAACAAGTCTGTGAAGACATTGTATGCCACGGTACAGTGGTACCTACCAAACTAACTGGAATTCCTGTGTGCCCACAAATCAGGTTGTGAACCTTTTTACTGAAAAATGCGTTCCCCAGTCAGATCTGTGATCAACTTCTGAAGATTTTCGCTTTTACTTTATTTGAAAAGGCCTCTTAGGAACAATGGTATATTTGTTAAGTCAAAGAAAGTTCTAAACCCGATAAATGTTCTTGAAGCAGATTGTTTGTTGTATAAAAAATAAGCTCACGAAGTGTTTGTATTATGTACAGACAATGAAACTCGGACAGTCCATACAGTCCAGTTGTACCCACAGAAAGTTATAACATACTTGTCTATTTTAAATCAATAGTGAGCATGGACTCTCATTTAGAACTCTGTTCACTCACAGCCCTTGGGAGTTCCTCATTCTCGTATCACATGTACTTTTAACAGTTTGTTTTCTCACGTGTGGGCGGTTTTGTTTAATTTACATACGTATGATGAAATAATATCCACTAAATTATCCAGCCATACATCAATCGAACAGGACGTTTTAATATACTGTTTTGTACGACAAAGATTCTGGTATATGAAATCATATCAGAAATGTGTTATGTGATATATTTCCTTCGTTATAGATATTAGGATGTGTAATTTCTGACACACTAAAAACCATGTATGTATGATATATACGTAAAATATATATGTAAAACTATAAACAACCTGCCCAGCGATGTCTCATGTCTTCAAGATGCACTTCTTCTAGCAGGACTATCAAAACTATATATAAACCGGGTCCCGTAAAGCTATAGACGAATGTTTATACTTTATAACAACTATACACTGGCTCAAATAAAACTAGCAGGTCTGTAGAACTATATACCAAGTCCTGCAGAACTATATACCAAGTCCTGTAGAACTATATACCAAGCCCTGTAGAACTGTATACCAGGTCCTCTAGAACTGTATACCAGGTCCTGTAGAACTATATACCAGGTCATGTAGAACTATATACCAGGTCATGTAGAACTGTCATACTATGTTCCAGGTCTTGTATGGCCCTGTAGAACTATATACCAGGTCATGTAGAACTATATACCAGGTCATGTAGAACTGTAAACCAGGTCCTGTAGAACTATGTTCCAGGTCTTGTAGAACTATATACCAGGTCCTGTAGAACTATATACCAAGTCCTGTAGAACTATATACCAGGCCCTGTAGAACTATATACCAGGTCATGTAGAACTGTAAACCAGGTCATGTAGAACTATGTTCCAGGTCTTGTAGAACTATATACCAGGCCCTGTAGAACTATGTAGAACTATATACCAGGTCATGTAGAACTGTAAACCAGGTCATGTAGAACTATGTTCCAGGTCTTGTAGAACTATATACCAAGTCCTGTAGAACTGTATACCAGGTCCTGTAGAACTATATACCAGGTCCTGTAGAACTATGTTCCAGGTCTTGTAGAACTATATACCAGGTCTTCTAGAACTGTATACCAGTTCTTGTAGAACTATATACCAGGTCCTGTAGAACTATACACCAGGTCCTGTAAAAATGTATACCAGGTCCGTTAGAACTGTATACCAGGTCATCAGGTCCTGTAGAACTGTATACCAGGTCCTGTAGAACTATATACCAAGTCACCAGGTCCTGTAGAACTGTATACCAGGTACTGTAGAACTATATACCAGGTCCTGAAGAACTATATACCAAGTCACCAGGTCCTGTAGAACTGTATACCAGGTACTGTAGAACTATATACCAGGTCATGTAGAACTGTATACCAAGTCCTGTAGAATTGTATACCAGGTCCTGTAGAACTGTATACCAGGTCCTGTAGAACTATATACCAGGTCCTGTAGAACTATGTTCCAGGTCTTGTAGAACTATATACCAGGTCCTGTAGAACTATATACCAGGTCCTCTAGAACTATATACCAGGGTTTGTAGAACTATACACCATGTCCTATAGAACTGTATACCAGGTCCTCTAGAACTGTAAACCAGGTCCTGTAGAACTGTATACCAGGGGTTGTAGAACTATACACCATGTCCTGTAGAACTGTATACCAGGTCCTGTAGGACTGTAAACCAGGTCCTGTAGAACTGTATACCAGGTCATTTAAAGCTATATACCTGGTCCTGTAGAACTTTATACCAGGTCCTTTAGAACTATGTACACGAAACACTCTTCTACATCAGCTGCTCATTTCGATCTTTTCTTAGAACAAACGTGGATAGCTTTCCACCAAGCAGTTTGATAAGTGTTACAATTTCCCTATTTTGAATTTCCATTCCTGGTTAGCAACATACCTGCATCCCAACCTTTGGTGATTACATGTCGCTGTCGATTCGATATTGAAGGGCCTTTTTCAATATCACGATTTTCGTACAAGATGTTGTCATTTGACGGACAAACTCTTAACAGAGGGTTTCAAAAGATGCAGGTTGTGGAAAATTATGGGGAATTTTTACGGTCGTCATAGTGATCTCATTGAAAAATATTCTATTTTATTTTGTGACGTGAAACTGGACGTGGTTGACGTTCGTAGGTTTGCCTGTTGGTTCGCTGTTGTATACTTTGTTTTCATTTGAGAACGTGAAATTAATTTCCTGGATTGGTCAAGATGAAGCAGAAGACGTTTACTTTTCCGAAACATCTGGTCTTATTTTCATTTCCTCTGTGCAAATCTTTCATTTGTTCGTAGATTGCCCTAGTTTAATTGAATTTGAGTTTGGATTATAATTGTGATCACATGTGTTTTCTTGTTGTTTCTGTATAACATTTGGTCTAGTATAGCTACCGACAGCTAGTATGACTCTGTAGCTGTACCTCTACACAGGACACAAGTACGAATCTGCAACAGACCTAAAATCAGTATTATCTTGCAATGTGTACTTATTACTAGATAACGTTTAGCGGAATAATGAACAAAATCAGGTGCCTGCAGGTTACGACAAACCCAGGGGACTTCACATAAGCAGAATATATCACACGCAGTCGCTAAGGTTGAACAAAAGACACACTTAGGCGAACAACACCTTTAACACTAATTTGGAATCATTTCTAGATCCATAGTCTAATGATAAATTATAATGCATCATGCAAACGTTTCGCTAAGACTCGTCACTGATTTAAAGGATCTATTTGGATTGAACTTAGTAAATGATTAAAAAAGTAAACATGATTTATTTTACAACAACTGCGATTTTATGTTAACGTGTAACAGTCATTCTTGTTGGCCCGAATTAAAGAGCGTAAGTTTTTTTTCTGTGAGAGGAACTGGATCCGTGGGGCATTCTGATGTGGTCAGGCAGTTAACCCATATATATTTCAGGTCCGTTAGTGGATCTAACCCTAGTCGTTTGGGTGACAGACGAGTGCCACACGACCACTCCATATACATAAAGGTTTTATTTAATTCTTTCCAGTGGTGATAATACTTTACAGTACGATTTTAGGTCATTTGGTGTGGTGTACTTTCAAACGAAACAAATAAAATAGATACGTGTAGTGTTAATGTAAGTATCCTGGTCAATCCAAGTATGTAATGTTACATGAACAACAGCGAAAACACTAGGCATATTAGTGTTATTGTAAACAAGAATGGAAGCTGGATGTTTGATCCTCTTATTATCAAGATGATCCCCTAATAATCAGAGCAGGAGATCACCAAAATATCTGTTAGGAAACAGAAGACGTCAACAGTGAACTTGTACAAAGAGAGGAACAGGCGACGTCAACAGTGAACTTGTACAAAGAGAGGAACAGGCGACGTCAACAGTGAACTTGTACAAAGAGAGGAACAGGCGACGTCAACAGTGAACTTGTACAAAGAGAGGAACAGGCGACGTCAACAATGAACTTGTACAAAGAGAGGAATAGGCGACGTCAACAGTGAACTTGTACAAAGAGAGGAACAGGCGACGTCAACAGTGAACTTGTACAAAGAGAGGAACAGGCGACGTCAACAATGAACTTGTACAAGGAGAGGAACAGGCGACGTCAACAACGAACTTGTACAAAGAGAGGAACAGGCGACGTCAACAGTGAACTTGTACATAGAGAGGAAAGAGTGGACGTCAACAGTAAACTTGTACAAAACTTTTCCAGTTAACCAGAATGTTTTTACCAGTACATTATAAGCAGATTACTCTTCACAAACTATTCTTCTATACCATATTTCATCGTCATAACGTGTATTACAGTACAATCGGGATTTATTTATAAATGATTCTTAACATTCCTTTGTATTGTTGTAAGATCAACAAGTAACATACTGGATTTATGAATGTCTATAGTACCGGGGCAGGTCGTGACACTAAGGACATTGAGACTGACCTGGTAGGGTATTTATAATGAACTATGTACATTGTATCAGCGTCTCCAGTCAATTGCCATTGGGACTGTTCAGATGTAATTTGCTACCTCGATAGCGAACATCCCTTAGTCCCAAGAGGGTGATATTCGATGTTAGGGCTATGTTGCTATTTTCGTTTGTTGTTGTTGACTAAATAAGTGTACTGAATTTCTAGCACCGA